GTGCAAAATTGCAAGAACAAGGCCTAGCGTGTGCAAAATAAAAAGAACAAGGGCCTAGCGTTTGCAAAATTGCAAGAACAAGGCCTAGCGTGTGCAAAATTGCAAGAACAAGGGCCTAGCTTTCGCGAAATAGCAAGAGCAAGGGCCTAGTGTGTGCAAAATAAAAGAAAAAGGTTATAGCATGTGCAAAATTGCAAGAACAGGGCCTAGCGTGTGCAAAATAAAAAGAACAAAGGCCTAGCGTGTGCAAAATAAAAAGAACAAGGGCCTAGGGTGTACAAAATTGCAAGAACAGGGCCTGCGATTGCAAAATAGCAGAGCAAGGGCCTAGCGTGTCCAAAAAATCAAGAACAAGGGCCAGCGTTCGCGAAATAGCAAGAACAAGGGCCTAGCGTGTGCAAAATAAAAAGAACAAGGGTCTAGCTGTGCAAAATGCAAGAACAAGGGCCTAGCGTGTGCAAAATAAAGAACAAGGGCATAGTGTGTGCAAAATAGCAAGAACAAGGGCCTAGCGTGTGCAAAATAAAAAGAACAAGGGCCTAGCGTATGCAAAATACAAGAACAAGGGCCTAACGTTGTGCAAAATTGCAAGAACAAGGGCCTAGCGTGGGCAAAATTGCAAGAACAAGAGCCTAGCGAGTGCAAATAGCAAGAGCAAGGGCCTAGCGTGTGCAAAAAATCAAGAACAAAGGCCTAGCGTTCGCGAAATTAGCAATAACAAGGGCCTAGCGTGTGCAAAATAAAAGAACAAGGGTCTAGCATGTGCAAAATTGCAAGAACAAGGGCCCTAGCGTGTGCAAAATAAAAAGAACAAGGGCCTAGCGTGTGCAAAATAAAAGAACAAGGGCCTAGCGTGTGCAAAATTGAAGAACAAGGGCCTAGCGTAGTGCAAAATTGGAAGAGCAAGGGACCTAGCGATGTGCGAAATAGCAAGAGCAAGGGCCTAGCCGTGTGCAAACAATCAAGAACAAGGGCCTAGCGTTCGCGAAATAGCAAGAGCAAGGGCCTAGTGTGTGCAAAATAAAAAGAACAAGGGTCATAGTATGTGCAAAATTGCAAGAACAAGGGACTAGCGTGTGCAAAATAAAAAGAACTAGGACAAAGCGTATGCAAAATAGCAAGAACAAGGGCCTAGCGTGTGCAAAATAACAAGAACAAGGCCTAGCGTGTGCAAAATAAAAAGAACAAGGGCCTAGCGTCATTGTCGCAAAATTGCAAGAAACAAGGGCCTAGCGTGTGCAAAATTGCAAGAACAAGTGCCTAGCGATTGCAAAATAGCAAGAGCAAGGGCCTAGCGTGTGAAAAAAATCAAGAACAAGGGCCTAGCGTTCGCGAAATAGCAAGAACAAGGGCCTAGCGTGTGCAAAAAAAAAAGAACAAGGGCCTAGCGTATGCAAAATAAAAGAACAAGGGCCAAGCGTGTGCAAAATTGCAAGAACAAGGGCCTAGCGTGTGCAAAATTGCAAGAACAAGGGCCTAGCGAGTGCAAAATAGCAAGAGCAAGCGGTTAGCGTGTGCAAAAAATCAAGAACAAGGGCCTAGCGTTCGCCAAATAGCAAGAACAAGGGCCTAGCGTGTGCAAAATAAAAAGAACAAGGGTCTAGCATGCCAAAATTGCAAGAACAAGGGCCTAGCGTGTGCAAAATAAAAAGAACAAGGGCCTAGCGTGTGCAAAATAAAAAGAACAAGGGCCTAGCTCTGCAAATTGCAAGAACAAGGGCCTAGCTTGTGCAAAATTGCAAGAACAAGGCCTAGCGAGTGCAAAATAGCAAGAGCAAGGGCCTAGCGTGTGCAAAAAATCAAGAACAAGGGCCTAGCGTTCGCGAAATAGCAAGAGCAAGGGCCTAGTGTGTGCAAAATAAAAAGAACAAGGGTATAGCATGTGCAAAATTGCAAGAACAAGGGCCCTAGCGTGTGCAAAATAAAAAGAACTAGGCATAGCGTATGCAAAATAGCAAAAACAAGGGCCTAGCGTGTGCAAAATAAAAAGAACAAAGGCCTAGCGTGTGCAAACTAAAAAGAACAAGGGCCTAGCGTGTGCAAAATTGCAAGAACAAGGGCCTAGCGTGTGCAAAATTGCAAGAACAAGGGCCTAGCGATTGCAAAATAGCAAGAGCAAGGGCCTAGCGTGTCCAAAAATCAAGAACAAGGGCCTAGCGTTCTCGAAATAGCAAGAACAAGGGCCTAGCGTGTGCAAAATAAAAAGAACAAGGGTCTAGCATGTGCAAAATTGAAAGAACAAGGCCTAGCGTGGTGCAAAATGAAAAGAACAAGGGCCTAGCGTGTGCAAAATAAAAAGAACAAGGGCCTAGCGTATGCAAAATAAAAAGAACAAGGGCCTAGTGTGTGCAAAATAAAAAGAACAAGGGTCTAGCATGTGCAAAATTGCAAGAACAAGGCCTAGCGTGTGCAAAATGAAAGAACAAGGGCATAGCGTGTGCAGAATAGCAAGAACAAGGGCCTAGCGTGTGCAAAATAAAAAGAACAAGGGCCTAGCGCATGGAAAATAAAAAGAAGGGCCTAGCGTGTGCAAAATTGCAAGAACAAGGGCCTAGTGTGTGCAAAATTGCAAGAACAAGCGCCTAGCGAGTGCAAAATAGCAAGAGCAAGGGCTTAGCGTGTGCAAAAAATCAAGAACAAGGGCCTAGCGTTTACGAAATAGCAAGAACAAGGGCGTAGCGTGTGCAAATAAAAAGAACAAGGGTCTAGCATGTGCAAAATTGCAAGAACAAGGGCCTAGCGTGTGCAAAATAAAAAGAACAAGGGCCTAGTGTGTGCAAAATAAAAGAACAAGGGCCTAGCGTTTGCAAAATTGCAAGAACAAGGGCCTAGCGTGTGCAAAATTGCAAGAACAAGAGCCTAGCAAGTGCAAAATAGCAAGAGCAAGGGCCTAGCGTGTGCAAAAAATCAAGAACAAGGGCCTAGCGTTCGCGAAATAGCAAGAGCAAGGGCCTAGTGTGTGCAAAATAAAAAGAACAAGGGCATAGCATGTGCAAAATTGCAAGTACAAGGGCCTAGCGTGTGCAAAATGAAAAGAACAGGGGCATAGCGTGTGCAAAATAGCAAGAACAAGGGCCTAGCGTGTGCAAAATAAAAAGAACAAGGGCCTAGCATGTGCAAAATAAAAGAACAAGGGCCTAGCGTGTGCAAAATAAAAAGAACAAGGGCCTAGCGTGTACAAAATTGCAAAAACAAGGGCCTAGCGTGTGCAAAATTGCAAGAACAAGGGCCTATTGTGTGCAAAATAAAAGGAAAAAGTGTCTAGAATGTGCAAAATTGCAAGAACAAAGGCCTAGCGTGTGCAAAATAAAAGAACAAGGGCCTAGCGTGTGCAAAATAAAAAGAACAAGGGTCCTAGCATGTGCAAAATTGCAAGAACAAGGGCCTAGCGTGTGCAAAAGGAAAAGAACAAGGGCATAGCGTGTGCAAAATAGCAAGAACAAGAGCCTAGCGTGTGCAAAATAAAAGAACAAGGGCCTAGCGTATGCAAAATAAAAGAACAAGGGCCTAGCGTGTGCAAAATTGCAAGAACAAGGGCCTAGCGTGTGCAAAATTGCAAGAACAAGGGCCTAGCGAGTGCAAAATAGCAAGAGGAAGGGCTTAGCGTGTGCAAAAAATCAAGAACAAGGGCCTAGCGTTCGCGAAATAGCAAGAACAAGGGCCTAGCGTGTGCAAAATAAAACGAACAAGGGTCTAGCATGTGCAAATTGCAAGAACAAGGGCCTAGCGTGTGCAAAATAAAAAGAACAAGGGCCTAGCGTGTGCAAAATAAAAAGAACAAGGGCCTAGCGTTTGCAAAATTGCAAGAACAAGGGCCTAGCGTGTGCAAAAATTGCAAGAACAAGGGCCTAGCGAGTGCAAAATAGCAAGAGCAAGGCCTAGCGTGTGCAAAAAATCAAGAACAAGGGCCCAGCGTTCGCGAAACAGCAAGAGCAAGGGCCTAGTGTGTGCAAAATAAAAAGAAAAAGGGTATAGCATGTGCAAAATTGCAAGAACAAGGGCCTAGCGTGTGCAAAATTGCAAGAACAAGGGCCTAGCGATTGCAAAATAGCAAGAGCAAGGGCCAAGCGTGTCCAAAAAATCAAGAACAAGGGCCTAGCGTTCGCGAAATAGCAAGAACAAGGGCCTAGCGTGTGCAAAATAAAAAGAACAAGGGTCTAGCATGCGCAAAGTTGCAAGAACAAGGGCATATCATGTGCAAAATAAAAGAACAAGGGCATAGCGTGTGCAAAATAGCACGAACAAGGGCCTAGCGTGTGCAAAATAAAAAGAACAAGGGTCCTAGCGTGTGCAAAATAAAAACAACAAGGGCCTAGCGTGGTGCAAAATTGCAAGAACAAGGGCCTAGTGTGTGCAAAATTGCAAGAACAAGGGCCTAGCGAGTGCAAAATAGCAAGAGCAAGGGCCTAGCGTGTGCAAAAAATCAAGAACAAGGGCCTAGCGTTCGCAAATAGCGAGAAGAAGGGCCCTAGCGTGTGCAAAATAAAAAGAACAAGGGCCTAGCGTGTGCAAAATAAAAAGAACAATGGCCTAGCGTTCGCGAAATAGCAAGAACAAGGGCCTAGCGTGTGCAAAATTAAAGAACAAGGGTAAAGCATGTGCAAAGTTGCAAGAACAAGGGCCTAGCGTGTGCAAAATAAAAAGAACAAGGGCATAGCTGTGAGAATCAATGAACAGGAATGAAATGACTAAGTCAGAGTTGGGTACAAATACAACCCTAGAAAGCTGTACCCCATATGTGCTACCCCACTATAGCCTACAAACATGCATCAGCTATGATAATCTGACACACCCCCATAGGCAAAGTGGGGGAGAACAAGGGGTCACAAGACCAGTCAAGCAAAGCAAAGCAAAGCAAGCTCAGGGTGGATCACAAAGTCACCACACAGTCCGAGCACAAGAGCAGGGCCAGAGGCCAGTTCACATGCAGGAGTACATACATATATATAAAACTAGACAAGCAAGAGCAGGTATATCTATATGTCACAGTACAAGTGAAGTCAAGAGGAGAGCAAGTGAGGCAAGACAGGCACAAGACCCAGCTGGGTGCAAAAGCGTTGATGGTCACAAGGCGCGAGTGCCTTGGTGAACACATCAGCAGTGTTGGTCTCAGAGGCCACGTACGCAAGTCGCAACTGACCACGCTGCTGCAGCTCACGAGCAAGGAAGTAGCGGAGAGCAATGTGCTTCGTTCTGTGCTCCAAGCGCTGCTCTCGACACAAGGCCAGCATGGCCTTGTTGTCTACGTACAGCACTGGAGGAGAGCGAGGCGGCTCTCCAAGGTCTGTCAGCAGGTAGGTGAGCCAGCGAAGCTCCTGTGCAGCCATGGCCCCGGCGTAGATCTCAGCCTCACAACTGGAGCCGAGAACCGAAGACGAGCGAGTAGACCGCCACGAGACAGAGCCGGAACCAAGGCTGAAGGTGTAACCCTGTGACGACCGCTGCGTAGCCTGGTCGTCAGCCCAAGAACCGTCCGCGTGGCCGGTAAGGACCACTGGACTCCGCCCTCCAAGCACTAGCCCCATGCCCGACGTACTGCACAGGTAGCGCAATACCCTCTTTGCTGCAGCCATGTGCTCTGGTCTGTGTCTCCCAGGAGCAACATAGCGTGCAAGAATGCTCAGAGGGTATGCAAGGTCAGGTCGTGTGCAGGTCATCAGGTACATGAGGCAGCCAACAAGCTCTGCATACGGACCACTCGACTCTACGGACTCATCCGAAGGCAGAGCTGAGAGTGAGTGGCGAGTAGGCAGAGGAGTGGCCTGAGGCGAGGAGTACGTGAAGCCGAAGCGCTGAAGGACCTGCTGCACCATGTGTGACTGAGTCAAAGTAATGGTGCGGCGTGCTCTGTCCCGAGTGATCTGCAAGCCAAGGTAGCTGCGCAGTTCACCCAGGTCTGTGCACGTGTGTCTCTTCAGCAGCTCGGACTTCACGTAGGCGAGTCCAGCAGTGTCCGCTGTGGCAAAGACCAAGTCGTCGACGTACACGAGGATGTAAAACGGCGGCAGGGAAGTGTCGGTGCGAAGAAACAGCGACGGGTCAGCAGTAGAAGGAGCAAACCCAAGAGCCGCAAGCGTAGTCCTCAGTGTGTCGTGCCACTCACGCGGTGCCTGGCGGAGACCGTAGACTGGCCGTCGGAGGCTCCACTGGGTGCCAGGAGGGAAAGTCCCAGTGAAGCCAGGTGGACGGCGAAGCCAGATCTCCTCGTGCAGGCTACCCTGCAAGAACGCAGTGCTGAAGTCGAGAGAGTGAAGCTCGTAGTCGCGCTGAGCGGCTATGTGCAGCAGCACCCGAAGAGTAGTCATCTTCGGGGTGGGAGAGAAGGTCTGAAAGTAGTCAACTCCCTGCCGCTGACTGAAGCCACGAGCAACGTACCGTGCCTTGAAGACAGGTGGAGAGCCCGGCGGCCGCTTCACCCTGAAGATCCACATGCCACTGACGATGTTCGCCCCAGGAGGGGGAACCGCGTCAACGTAGGTGCCTGTGGACTTCCAGGAAGCCATCTCTGCATCCATAGCTGCCTGCCACTGAGAGGAGTAGGGACCCTCTACGGCCTCCGCGTAAGAACGCGGAGTCGGGATGTCTAGTGCATCCGGGTCTCCCTCAGGGGCAAGCAGTACAGACGCGAGATGAGGTGAAGCAGCCGCTAGACACTGTAACTCCTCCTGCCTGTCCTCTAGGACGTCCGTGCCAAGAGCACACTCACCCCCGACGGACGGAGGACAGACAGACGCAGACTCAGCAACAAGACTAGCAGCGTAGTCGAGACGACAGCGAGCAGCAAAGTCGACGAGCTCAGCGACTAGAGCAGACGCAGCAGTGGACTCAAAAGAGGGGTCAGTGACGACAGTAGCAAGCAGACGCGTGACAGTAGGACTGGCAGCACGAAGAGAGTCCGACTCAGGGTCGGCAAGCGCAGGAAGAGAGGACTCGGGAGGAGAAGGCAAAGGGGCACGCAGAGGAGCACTGGACGGACGCAAAGACATCCGGTGGGTGCCAGGGACAGGAGGAGGACGCTGACGCGAACTGCGACCACTAGCGCGAGCAGCACGAACAGGCGACGCGGGACGAGACGCAGGCTCATGACGCTCAGCAAGACCTTCCAGTAGGACCAGTGTAAGGAGAGGGAGCAGGCAGTGGAGAGGAAGGCTCCAGCAGGGACTGCGACTGGACAGGCGGTGGACCCTCTACTGGAGGAGAAAGACCAAGAACCTGCTGCAGGAGCGGAACGAAGTACGGCCGAGGCCGCGCGGCAGCTCCAGACTCAGCAGGGACAGCACCAGCACCCTCAGCGACAGCACCAGCGCCACCCACACCTCCAGCGGCAGGACCAACAGCAGTAGGCTCAGCACCAACGCCCTCAGCAGTTCCAGCTCCAGGAGGACCCGCAGGTCCAGCAGCTCCGGGACCGGCAGCACCCGCACCCTCGACGGTCGAAGAAGCTCCAGCTCCAGCTCCAGCAGCACCTCCAGACTCAGCAGCACGCCTCCAGCGGCGAGCGAACCACTCGCGCAGCTCCTGTGGAGAGAGGGGCTCCCGGCGAGACGCAGCAGCAGGAGAAATATCAGGCTTAGGAGCTCCAGACGCAGCACCCCCAGGCTCAGCAGCTCCCAGCTCAGCACCCCCAGGCTCAGCAGCTCCCGACTCAGCAACCGCAGACCCAGCACCTCCAGGCACAGCACCCCCCGGCTCAGCACCCCCAGGCTCCGCACCCTCCGCAGTAGCACCCTCAGGCCCAGCACCCCCAGCAGTAGCACCCCAAGGCTCAGCACCCCCGCGCACAGCACCCCCAGAGTCAGCACCCCCAGGCTCAGCACCCGCAGCAGCACCAGAGTCACCATTAACCTCGACCGGGTCAACGGCGTCTACCTGGGACACACCTGAGGGGGCAGGAACCTGAGAGGGGAGGGGGTCTACCGGGGGGGGAACCGGCACAAGGAAGTCCGGGGGAGGGGGGAGGGAAGGAGTGCGGTAGGGGAAGAGACGGTAGAAGGGGACTGACTCGTCGAACGTGACGTCCTGGGAGGACAGAACACGACGAGAGGAGGGGTGGTAAAACTGCCACCCTGGGGCGTCAGTGGGGAAGCCAAGGAAGACACAGGGAGCAGCACGAGGGGACAGCTTGTCCGCAGACAAGTCGCGGACAAACGCCCGAGATCCCCAGACACGGAACACAGACGCATCGCCAACCTTCCCCGTCCACAGCAAGGCTGGGGACATCGCAGGCCGAGAGACCCGGGGGTGAAGGTTGAGCTGATGCGCCGCGTACCTCACCGCAAACGGCCACAGAAAATGGGGGGCAGCCGCATGCATCATGGACGTACGAGCGACATCCATGACCATGCCAATGCGGCGCTCAGCAATCCCATTTTGCTGTGGTGAGTCCGGAAGCGTGAAGGTCTGGCGGATCTCCCGTGCACGACAGTAGTCTCGCAGAAGGCGAGAAGAGAACTCTCCGCCTCTGTCCGAGTGCAGACGCAGAACAGGAAAGTCCGAGCCGAAGCTCTTCCTGAGCTGGAGACGAGCCTCGCGGATCCAGTCGATCAGCACCTCAGTGACCGCACCCTTGCTGCGCAAGGGGAGGACTGTGGTGTAACGCGAGTAGTCGTCAACCACCAACAGGAAGTAGCGCTCGTGACCCTGCCCACGGACGGGGGCTGGGCCCCACACATCCATGTGAAGCGTCTGCAGGGGAGCCTCTGTCGGGGGGAAGTGGGAGGAGTGAGGAGTAGCCCGGAGGCGACCCTCGACACAGGGGACACAGGAAGGTCCTGGCCCGGAGGGGAGAGGAGGGAGAGACTGGGGAAGACCAGAGACAAGGACACGGGAAGCCATGCTCCGAAGACGGGGCAAGGAGGGGTGGCCAAGACGGTGGTGCCACAGGAGAGTCTCGTGAGACAGGAGGCGACAAGAACAGGGGGCAGACTCAGGACATGACCGGGACGCAGCAGCAAGCACCTGACCTGACGCAGCCACCTGACCAGACGCAGGGACAGGAGGAGACTCAACGGTCAGGGTGTAGAGACTCGACCCCGGCCGACGCGAGAACGTGGCCAGGTGTCCGCCTGTGCGTGCCTCCGTGCAGTGGGTCACCCGCTGACTCGCAGGAGTGAACTGGTGAACCTCCACATCCTGCAGGTCCGCGCCACTCACCAAGTTCGTAGAGAACGAGGGAAGGTACAGACCAGACAGGGTGCCCGAAGGGGCAGCCGGACACGGGAGGACAGTGGAGAAGTGAGACAGGACAGGACCCCCAGAGGGGTCAGCAAGGGAGACTGCAACCGGCCGGCCGAGTGGCGTAAGGGTAGTGCGGTCTCGAAAGAAGGAGCGAGAAGCCCCGGAGTCAAGTGTGAAAGTGAGGGAGGACGAGGACGACGCAGTACCTGAGAGCGCAGTCTCACCAGTACCTGAGAGCGCAGACGCACTGGCACCTAGAGCAGCAGCCTCACAAGCACCTAGTGCAGCAGTACCAATGCCCGGGTCGGGCTGGAAAGACCGGTAACCCTCATTCTCCTCACTATAAGTCACAGCATACATAGCAGCAAGGATAGCATCAAAATCAAGATCAAAGATCGCTACACCAGCCCTAAGAAGCTCATCCCAGCGAGGGATCTCACTAGCCCCAGGGAACTGCAGACGCCAAGCGTCCGTCAGGCGGCCAAAGCAGCGCTGGGCGGCGTGGGCACCCCCACACTGCTCACCCGCGCGGTCGCCGGAACGAAGAACGTAGGTGCAGGGACCAGTACCCCCACCCCTCTGACGCCCAGCGTACCACTCACGAAGCTGCTGAGGCGGAGGGATGTCCCGCGAGCGCTGCTGCTGCTGCCGCTGCGAGCGCTGGCCACCACCACCACCGCTACGCTGTTGGGTACCACCCCGACCAGCTCCACCTCCTCCACCACCACCGCCACCTCCGCTGCTGCCTCCACCGCCTCCACCTCCGCCGCCTCCACCTCCGCCGCTGCCTCCACCACCACCGCTGGCACCACCACCACCGTCTCCGCCGCTGCTGCCACCACCACCACCACCCCCGCCACTAGTCTCGCCGCCACCCCCACTCCCTCCGCCGCCACCGCCGCCACCGCCACCGCCCCCTCCAGCTCCACCCGCGCCCTTGCCCCCCTTGCCCCCCTTGCCCTTGCTGGAGCGACGTCTCCCACTAGGGGCAGACGCCGCGCCGACCGACTCAAGACCAAGCAGGTCGGCAGCAGCAGCAGAGGCAACAGAGGGCAGCAAGGGGGAAGGAGAGCACCCCTCAAAGATGGGGGTGCGAGGGTCACCACGAGAAGCACCTACAGCGACTATGCTCTTCTCCGCTGCGAGGAGGGCCTTCTCGAGGAGGTCGACGGTGAGGGTGGTGGGACAGACTGCGAGAAAGTGGTCCCTGACGACACGAAGGGAGTCAGGGAGGCGCGCAACTACGTAGTAGAGAGCGATGTACATGGGGGGGGGGGGGTTCTTAGCGCAGAATTCAGCAGGAAGGGCGGTGCGGTAGCGAGTGTCACTAGTGCGAAGGTGTGTAATGAGGTCAGCGACAGTGGGAAAGGCAGAGAGGTCAGGAAAGAGGTAGGGAAGCATGAGACGGCTCAGTGCAGCAGTGGCAGGGGAGGAGTAGCGCGCAACTACAGCGTCGTACAAGGTCTGAGCACTCTTGTACTGACTAAAGTGCGCGCGCTCAGAGGTAGGGAGGTGGCGACGCACAGCAAGACGTGCAGCAGCATCGCGGGTGGCCCACTGAGAGCGCACAGTGGGATCAGCATCGGCAGCAGGAGCAGGAGAGGCGCCAGAGGTAAGGTCAAAGAGAGAGAGGCCATCTGCCCTATCGCACTGTAAAAACAACTGCAGGTCGTCTACCCAGACCTCAAAGTCAATGGCTCGACCCTCAGCGTCAAAAGCTAGGACACTAGGGGTAGCCATGACGACGACAGCGAAGCAGTGCAAGCAGTAGGGGAAGAGCACGCAGTGACAGTGCGACTGTGCTCACCAGGCAGGGCAGGCCGGGCAACTCTGCAGAAGGGCGGCTCGGCGACTCAGCGACTCGGCTGCTCGGCGGCTCGGCTCCCGGGCGGCTCGGCGGCAGGGCGGCTCGGGTGCAGGGCGGCTCGGCGCCCGGGCGGCTCGGCGGCAGGGCGGCTCGGGTGCAGGGCGGCTCGGCTCCCGGGCGGCTCGGCGGTAGGGCGGCTCGGGTGCAGGACGGGGCCGGGACAGGGGACGGCGGGGCCGTCAGGGTGCAGCGGCGGGGCCGACTGGTGCGGTGGCGGGGCCGTCAGGGTGCAGCGGCGGGGCCGTGACAGGGGACGGCGGGGCCGTCAGGGTGCAGCGGCGGGGCCGGCAGGGTGCAGCGGCGGGGCCGGGACAGGGGACGGCGGGGCCATCAGGGTGCAGCGGCGGGGCCGACTGGTGCAGTGGCGGGGCCGTCAGGGTGCAGTGGCGGGGCCGTGACAGGGGACGGCGGGGCCGTGACAGGGGACGGCGGGGCCGTCAGGGTGCAGCGGCGGGGCCGACAGAGGTGCAGCGGCGGGGCCGGCAGGGTGCAGCGGCGGGGCCGGGACAGGGGACGGCGGGGCCGTCAGGGTGCAGCGGCGGGGCCGACAGGTGCAGTGGCGGGGCCGTCAGGTTGCAACGGCGGGGCCGAGAGTAGGGGACGGCGGGGCCGTCAAAAGAGGACGGCGGGGCCGTCAGGTGGCGGGGCCCGCTGCAGCGACGAAGAGGCCGCGCGGCCGGCGTGAGGGCGGCGGGGCGCAGCAGAGCCGAGAGGGCGGCGCGGCACGGCCGTAAGGCCAGCGCGACGTGGGGCCCTGGCCGCGCGCGCGAAAAAAAGGACTCGCGCGCGCGACTCGCGGGGCGCCACAAGGGCAGCGCGACAAGCACTAGGGGGGAGCGCGCCTCGGGGAGAATAGGGCGCGCTCCGGGCAGGAAAAAAAATAAAAAAATTGTGGGTGGGACCTTAAAAAAAAAACGGTCCTTAGGAAGGACCCGCTCTATACCATGTGAGAATCAATGAACAGGAATGAAATGACTAAGTCAGAGTTGGGTACAAATACAACCCTAGAAAGCTGTACCCCATATGTGCTACCCCACTATAGCCTACAAACACGCATCAACCATGATAATCTGATAATAGCGTGTGCAAAATAGCAAGAACAAGGGCCTAGCGTGTGCAAAATAAAAAGGACAAGGGCCTAGCGTGTGCAAAATAAAAAGAACAAGGGACTAGCGTGTGCAAAATTGAAAAAACAAGGGCCTAGCGTGTGCAAAATTGCAAGAACAAGGGCCTAGCGAGTGCAAAATAGCAAAAGCAAGGGCCTAGCGTGTGCAAAAAATCAAGAACAAGGGCCTAGCGTTCGCGAAATAGCAAGAGCAAGGGCCTAGTGTGTGCAAAATAAAAAGAACAAGGGTATAGCATGTGCAAAATTGCAAGAACAAGGGCCTAGCGTGTGCAAAATAAAAAGAACTAGGGCATAGCGTATGCAAAATAGCAAGAACAAGGGCCTAGCGTGTGCAAAATTAAAAGATTAAGGGCCTAGCGAGTGCAAAATAAAAAGAACAAAGGCCCAGCGTGTGCAAAATTGCAAGAACAAGGGCCTAGCGTGTGCAAAATTGCAAGAACAAGGGCCTAGCGAATGCAAAATAGCAAGAGCAAGGGCGTAGCGTGTGCAAAAAATCAAGAACAAGGGCCTAGCGTTCGTGAAATAGCAAGAACAAGGGCCTAGCATGTGCAAAATAAAAAGAACAAGGGTCTAGCATGTGCAAAATTGCAAGAACAAGGGCCTAGCATGTGCAAAATAAAAAGAACAAGGGCCTAGCGTGTGCAAAATAAAAAGAACAAGGGCCTAGCGTGTGCAAAATTGCAAGAACAAGGGCCTAGCGAGTGCAAAATAGCAAGAGCAAGGGCCTAGCGTGTGCAAAAAATCAAGAACAAGGGCCTAGCGTTCGCGAAATAGCAAGAACAAGGACATAGCGTGTGCAAAATAAAAAGAACAAGGGTCTAGCATGTGCAAAATTGCAAGAACAAGGGCCTAGCGTGTGCAAAAAAAAAAAGAACAAGGGCATGGCGTGTGCAAAAAAGCAAGAACAAGGGCCTAGCGTGTGCAAAATAAAAAGAACAAGGGCCTAGCGTGTGCAAAATAAAAAGAACAAGGGCATAGCGTGTGCAAAATAAAAAGAACAAGGGCCTAGCGTGTGCAAAATAAAAAGAACAAGGGCCTAGCGTGTGCAAAATTGCAAGAACAAGGGCCTAGCGTGTGCAGAATTGCAAGAACAAGGGCCTAGCGATTGCCAAATAGCAAGAGCAAGGGCCTAACGTGTGCAAACAATCAAGAACAAGGGCCTAGCGTTCGCGAAATAGCAAGAACAAGGGCCTAGCGTGTGCAAAGTATAAAAAACAAGGGTCTAGCATGTGCAAAATTGCAAGAACAAGGGCCTAGCGTGTGCAAAATAGCAAGAACAAGGGCCTAGCGTGTGAAAAATAAAAAGAACAAGGGCCTAGCGTGTGCAAAATAAAAAGAACAAGGGCCTAGCGTGTGCAAAATTGCAAGAACAAGGGCCTAGCGTGTGCAAAATTGCAAGAACAAGGGCCTAGCGAGTGCAAAATAGCAAGAGCAAGGGCCTAGCGTGTGCAAAAAATCAAGAACAAGGGCCTAGCGTTCGCGAAATAGCAAGAATAAGGGCCTAGCGTGTGCAAAATAAAAAGAACAAGGGTCTAGCATGTGCAAAATTGCAAGAAAAAGGGCCTAGCGTGTGCAAAATAAAAAGAACAAGGGCATAGCGTGTGCAAAATAGCAAGAACAAGGGCCTAGTGTGTGCAAAATAAAAAGAACTAGGGCCTAGGGTGTGGAAAATAAAAAGAACAAGGGCCTAGCGTGTGCAAAATTGAAAGAACAAGGGCCTAGCGTGTGCAAATCTGCAAGAACAAAGGCCTAGCGAGTGCAAAATACCAAGAGCAAGGGCCTAGCATGTGCAAAAAATCAAGAACAAGGGCCTAGCGTTCGCGAAGTAGCAAGAGCAAGGGCCTAGTGTGTGCAAAATAAAAAGAACAAGGGTCTAGCATGTGCAAAATTGCAAGAACAAGGGCCGAGCGTGTGCAAAATAAAAAGAACTAGGGCATAGCGTATGCAAAATAGCAAGAACAAGGGCCTAGCATGTGCAAAATATAAAGAACAAGGGCCTAGCGTGTGCAAAATAAAAAGAACAAGGGCCTAGCGTGTGCAAAATTGCAAGAACAAGGGCCTAGCATGTGCAAAATTGCAAGAACAAGGGCCTAGCGAGTGCAAAATATCAAGAGCAAGGGCCTAGCGTGTGCAAAAAATCAAGAACAAGGGCCGATCGTTCGCGAAATACCAAGAACAAGGGCCTAGCGTGTGCAAAATAAAAAGAACAAGGGTCTAGCATGTGCAAAATTGCAAGAACAAGGGCCTAGCGTGTGCAAAATAAAAAGAACAAGGGCATAGCGTGTGCAAAATAAAAAGAACAAGGGCCTAGCGTGTGCAAAATAAAAAGAACAAGGGCCTAGCGTGTGCAAAATAAAAAAAACAAGGGCATAGCGTGTGCAAAATAAAAAGAACAAGGGCCTAGCGTGTGCAAAATAAAAAGAACAAGGGCCAAGCGTGTGCAAAATTGCAGGAACAAGGGCCTAGCGTGTGCAAAATTGCAAGAACAAGGGCCTAGCGAGTGCAAAATAACAAGAGCAAGGGTCTAGCGTGTGCAAAAAATCAAAAACAAGGGCCTAGCATTCGCGAAATAGCAAGAGCAAGGGCCTAGCTTGTGCAAAATAAAAAGAACAAGGGTCTAGCATGTGCAAAATTGCAAGAACAAGGGACTAGCGTGTGCAAAATAAAAAGAACAAGGGCATAGCGTGTGCAAAATAGCAAGAACAAGGGCCTAGCGTGTGCAAAATAAAAAGAACAAGGGCCTAGCGTGTGCAAAATAAAAAGGACAAGGGCCTAGCGTGTGCAAAGTTGCAAGAACAAGGGCATAGCGAGTGCAAAATAGCAAGAGCAAGGGCCTAGCGTGTGCAAAACATCAAGAACAACGGCCTAGCGTTCGCGAAATAGCAAGAACAAGGGCCTAGCGTGTGCAAAATAAAAAGAACAAGGGTCTAGCATGTGCAAAATTGCAAGAACAAGGGCCTAGCGTGTGCAAAAAATCAAGAACAAGGGCCTAGCGTTCGCGAAATAGCAAGAACAAGGGCCTAGCGTGTGCAAAAGAAAAAAACAAGCGTCTAGCATGTGCAAAATTGCAAGAACAAGGGCCTAGCATGTGCAAAATAAAAAGAACAAGGGCATAGCGTGTGAAAAATAGCAAGAACAAAGGCCTAGCGTGTGCAAAATAAAAAGAACAAGCGCCTAGCGTGTGCAAAATAAAAAGAACAAGGGCCTAGCGTGTGCAAAATTGCACACGCTAGGCCCTTATTCTTGCAATTTTGCACATGCTAGACCCTTGTTCTTTTTATTTTGCACACGCTAGGCCCTTGTTTTTGCTATTTCGCGAACGCTAGGCCCTTGTTCTTGATTTTTTGCACACGCTAGGCCCTTGCTCTTGCTATTTTGTACTCGCTAGGCCCTTGTTCTTGCAATTTTGCACACGCTAGGCCCTTGTTCTTGCAATTTTGCACACGCTAGGCGCTTGTTCTTTTTATTTTGCACACGCTAGGCCCTTGTTCTTTTTATTTTGCACACGCTAGGCCCTTGTTCTTGCTATTTTGCACATGCTTTGCCCTTGTTCTTTTTTTTTTGCACACGCTAGGCCCTTGTTCTTGCAATTTTGCACATACTACACCCTTGCTCTTTTTTTTTTTGCACACGCTAGGCCCTTGTTCTTGCTATTTCGCGAACGCCCGGCCCTTGTTCTTGATTTTTTGCACACGCTAGGCCCTTGCTCTTGCTATTTTGCACTCGCTAGGCCCTTGTTCTTGCAAT